ATAGTGAGTTCCAGGTCAGCCTGAGTTTTAGAATGAGATGTGTAAAAAAAAATTCAGAAGAGAAAGAAGAGGGAGAGGAGGAGGAGAGGGGGGAAAAAAGGAAGACCTAGGCAGACTCACTGCCTAATTCTCTAATTCTACCAGATCTGTAATGAAGAAGTAACACAATGTCCCTCAGACGATTATATAATACAGAAAGGGAATGAATTCTGCCAAGCTCAGTCTATAAAGGTAGTGTTACCGTGATAGGCAAAACTGAAAAATGATGCAATACCAAGAGCAAGAAAATTATAGACCTGTTGCCTTCTTGAAAAACACAGGTGCAAATGTTCTCAATAGAATGTTTGCACATTGAATTCAACAACATATAAAAGATCACACAGAATGATCGAGTTGGCTTCATTTCATAGATGCAAAGATGGTTTGATATATGCAAATCAAATAAATGTAACACAGCTTTTAAATAGACTCATGGACAAAAGTCATTAGATTTCAAAAAGGACTTTCAACCTCTTTTCACAATGAAAGTCTTGCAGAAATAATTAAAGGAACATAATTCAGCATACTTCACTGCATTGAAGGCTACATATGATAAACCTGAAATCAATATTATACCAAATGGGAAAAATTAAAAGATATCCTCTACCACCAGGAATGAAACAAGGTATCTTCTCTCCTCATGCTTATTAACACAATGCTTGAATTTGCTTATTTAGAGCAATAAGGCAAGAGAAAGAAATACAGATGATGCAAATAGGGAAGGAAAAGGGAAAGCTATTCCTGTTTGCAAGTGTTATGATCCTAGAGCTGTAAGGCTCTAAAGATTCCATGAGAAAGCTTAGACCTGAGACGTGCTTCCAGAAAAATAGTAAGACACAAAATTAACATACAAAATGCATTGTCATTTCAAAATGCCAATAACAAACTCATTGAGAAAAAATAGGGAGATGAAGTCATTTATAATCTTCAAAAATAAATATCTAAGAGTCAGGTATAGTGGCTTCAATGCCTTCAAACCAAGCAGTGGGGAGGCAGGGACATGTGGATCTATGAGTTTGAGGCCAGCTTGGTCTACACAGTGAGTTTCAGGACAGCCAGGGTTACATAGAGAGACCTTGTCTCAACAACAACAAACCAAACCAAAGAAAAACCTATGACTAAACCTAATCAAGGAAGTGAAAGTCTCTACAATGAAAAACTTTATGACACTGAAAGAAACTGAAGAGGGCACTTGATGATGCAAAGACTTCTCAAGCTCATGGACACACAGGAATAACCGTGAAAATGGCTATATTACCAAAAGCTATGTTCAGATTAACTGCAATTCCCATCAAAATCCCAATGACATTCTTCACTGAACTAGAAAAAAAATCATCCTGAAATTAATATGGGAGCACAAAACATTCTGAATAGCAATAGAAATCTTAAGAGGGGAAGCAGTATTGAAGGTATCGAAATGCCTGGTACTGCAGGCATTAAATGTTACTACACAGCCATATTAAAAAAAAAAAACCCACATAGTACTAACCCAAAACAGACGTGTAGACCAATGGGAAAGAACAGTTTTGAGAGATAAAAACACAGGTACAGCTATCTGATTTTTGACAGAGTTGTAAAGAACATACATTAAAGACAAACCCCTTAAATGACACTGGGGAACCCAAATTCTCACATGTAGAATGAAACCAGATCCTGACATCTGTATAAAAACCAATTCAAATGGACCAAAGATCTAAATGTAAGACCTGAGACTTTGAAAGTTGTAGGGAAAACCATGGGTAAAGCACTTCAAGACATGTCACATCAAGGACTTTCTAAACAACCCCAAGAACACAAGAAACAATACCAAGAACTGACAGGTGGAAAAACACGACATCAAGAGACTTTTGCACAGCAAAGGAAACAACCACCAGATTAAGAGACACCTTACAGTGTGTGTGTGTGTGTGTGTGTGTGTGTGTGTGTGCGCGCGTGCGTGGGGACTAGTATCTGGGATATATAAAGAGCTGAAAACAATTTAACACTACAAAATTAAATCATCTTATCAATAAATGGACCAATAAACAGGCAATTCTCAAAAGAAGAAATACAAAACAGACACCAACTACTTGAAAACTACTATGTTTAAAATCCTTACCTACCAGAGAAATGTTGATTGAAACTGCCTTCAGATTCCATCTCAAGTCAGATGGCTACCATCGAGGAAAAGGGGGTGACAAATGCCAGGAGGGCACCAGAGTAACATAGTAGCCATGTACAGGACTAGCTGGTTAACTTGGCCCCTGGAGGTAAAAGTATGGAGGTTCCACCAAAAACTAAAAGAGAGCCTCTGTGTCATCCAGCCATAACTCTTGAAGAAATACTTGACAGAATACAAGTTAGACACCACAGAGATACTCTGACGTCTATGTTTTCTGGGCTCTTTTCACAGCAACCTGGATGTCCATCAACAAATGAGTGAGTAAATGTGGTGCATGTGTGTACACCCACACACACACACACACACACACACACACACACACACACACGGCAGAGTTTTATTCAGCCACAAAGAATAAAATTAAGTCATTTTTCTGGAAGATAAATGGAACTGGACATCATCATAATAAGCCAGATGTTTACTTTTTATGAAAAATCTAGATTTTAAAAATGGACCTGGGCCTGGTGATGCTGGCCTATTATTCTTCCTACTTGGCCAAAGAAACTAGTGAGACTATCTAGGGCAGCACTTCTTAGTCTGTGTGTTTTGACCCCTTTTGGGGACCATCAAGAAACACAGATATATTACGATTCACGACAGTTGCAAGATTACAGTTATAAGTAGCAGTGAAAATAATTGTATGGTTGGGGGCCAACACAACATGAGGAACTGTATTAAGGGGTCACAGCATCAGGAAGGTTGAGAACCACTGTTCTAGGGGGAGGGTGGACACCAGTACACCAGTGGATGAAGAACACAATAACAGCAAAGAACCTGATTTACATGTATAAAAATGTTATCATGAAACATGTATTTCCTTTTTAGAAATGAAAAAAAAAGCCTGCTCATAAAGATTTGGAGGAAAGAATATGCCAGGCAACAATAAAGATAGCATTTGTGAACAGAACCTGAGTGGAGGAGATACGACCTCCATGTAATTTATGCGTATGACCACTGAGGGGCAGCACACACAAACCCAGCTTTTCACCCAACAGTCCAGCCTCTGCCCTTCCCTCAGGTAGATCTTCCCTCTACATCACAGGACTGTCACCCACTCATTCCCAAATGTAAGAATTCAGAAAGCCACCCTCTGCTGACACCCTCAGGCAGTTTCTTTGCCCTGTGGTCATTTACCCGAGACATTGATTGTTGCCACATATTCACTGTTCCCCCACTTTGCCCCTCCACTTGTCTTTTCTCTCCGAGCTCTAGCTGAAGAATCCCACCGGGCTACCTCTGACACCTCAATACCATCAACATCACCTCTATGCCAGCATGTGAGGGCGGGGATGGTAGACTACTGGCTGAATTCAGCATGATAGGGTCTAGCAGCCATTGGGGTTATGGTGGTGTTGCAGATGAGGGTGGGTGACTCTGGCTTCAAATTAGGATTTTTAGTAGACATGGATTATACAGCTAAAATCTACGTTTTGTTACATCGTAAGAAATTTTATAGCTTTAATTGATTTTATTGCTGTTGTTGTTGTTACTGATTTTTCAAGACAGAGTTTGTCTGTGTAGCTCTGGCTATCCTGGAACTCACTCTGTAGACCAGGCTGGCCTCGAACTCAGAGATCTGCCTGCCTCTGCCTCCTGAGTGCTTAATTTATTAATTCTGTTTTCTCTTGGGAAATCATCACTGCCACTCTGGTAGCTCTCAATGTCTCCATCTGCTAAATTTAGAGGTGGGGTGGGGTGAAGAAGTGTCATGGAGACTGTGGTTTTCACCGGTAGCTGGGCAGCTTGATGTCACAAAGTCTCAGGATTGCTATTGTCAGAGGCCAACTAGATCTCAAACCCTATAAAGCCTAGGAAAGGCTCTTCTGCTAAGTCTAGCTCACTGACTTCCACTCACAATCTTTCTAGGGCTAGAGAAGGTATGTTGCAAAGAGCCCTTGATCTGCCTCAAGTCTCACAAGTCACTCACAAGTAAAGGGAGTGACTAGGGGTGACTAGTCTCTTCAGGGGGTGGTGACACTGGTGTAGGAAGAGGACCTCAGAAGAAAACTGTGGGGCTTCTCTCTTCCTTCCTTCCTTTCTTTCTTTCTTTCTTTCTTTTCTTTCTCTCTCTCTTTCTGTTTGTTTTGAGACATAATCTCTTGCAGCCTAGCCTCACCTTGAACCCACCAGGTAGCCAAGAACAACCTAGAACTTGTTATTCTCCCTAGTGGAGGGATTAAACCTCCAGAGGTTGGAATTACTCCGTATCAGGCCCATTGGTTCTGGGGATGGAACCCAGGCTAGATGAATATTTTACCATCTGAGCTACATTCCCAGTCCCTTCTCTGATTATTTTTGAGTTGTTCTCTGGTCCTGCAGGGTCTGGGCTCAGAGACCCAGTCCTCAGTGTTTCCAACCTTGTACCAGGGGACCACTGCCATGTGTGGGGACACTGAGTCACAGCTGCTGAGAACGTGAGACAAGTCTAGTGACCAAAGGCTGCAGAAAGGGGTGAGTGGAAGAAGGCAGGGGTGGTAGGAGTTGGGGGGGGGGCGGTCAACCAATCTCAAGACGCTGGGGACACCTGATGACCCCTTGTGAGGCCCCAAGTCAATGTCTCTGGTCCCCCGGGTCAGCCGGGCAGCTCCGGGAATTGCAGGCAGCGTCTATTTCAGAGTTTATGGTAAGAGGCTGGAGGCTGCACACACAGACAGCACACCCCACCCTTTAAGGAAGTAGGGAGGAGAGCAGCAGGGGTGTGGTTAACGACCGAGAGGAGGAGGGGGAAAACAACCTGTCAGCCTCTTACTCAGCCTCTGCGGGCAGAGCCTCGTGTCCTACCTGCGGCGGCTGCACTCACCTGGCCCAGCCCGGAGCCCTGGCCGGAGTCCGCGCCTCACCCGCGGTGAGTCCTGCACGTCGCTACCCAGCGCCAGGGTCGGGGACCCGTCGATCGTTCGACTTAGGTGGAAAGCTGGAGGGGGGGGGGAGCCTGGACGCGGCTGGGAATTCCTGGAAAGGGGGCACAAGATCCAGAGAGTCAGAGCCTCTGAGCAGGTGCTCACCCTGAGCTTGCCGCCCTGAGCTGGGGGAGAAGGGATCTATTTTTGGACTTCTTCTGAGACTAAAGGGTGTTTCCCCGGTTTTGTCCTGTTAGCTTATTCAGGCAGGGGAGGCTGGGGCCACGGTTTGAGGAGGGCTTAACGAAGCTGCTTTCTTCTAAAGGTCGGATTTGGTAGCCCCAAAGCCAACCTGGGGCTTCAGAACCCAACTTCAGCTCGAGCGCGACCTCTGCCCAAGCACTTCGCACTATTCTCCCCAGTGCCCTTCGGCACCCTTATGTGTCCCCTATCCCCCACCTCTGGGACTTTTTTTTGGGTTTTTCCAAGAGGAACCATACCAAACGTGTGTGTGTGTGTGTGTGTGTGTGTGTGTGTGTGTGTGTGTGTGTGTGTGTGTGTGTGTGCGCGCGCGCGCGCGCGCCAAAGTTCACACTGGCCACAATGGCTCATTTTGAAGCTGTTTTCCCCCTTGCCACTCAAGGGTTAAGTTCTGGGCTGCTGTTCCTGCTGCCAGGCTGTGCGTGGGCAAAGCTTTGGGTGGGTGAAGAGTGAGCATATGGGTGATGTTCTGAGGCCCACCAAGCTCTGCCACCTGCCCTCAACCTCAGCCATCTGACACCAGCATCTCCCATCACCCCCAAACTGGAAGCAAGATTCAGCTGGGCTCTTTGAAGCAAGATCCAAGCTGGGACCCGGAGAGTGGGGGGATGGCATTATCCAGGATGACTTGAAAGCAAGAGAGAGAAGAATCTTAAACAGATCTTGAGCCAGTCTGGAGCCTGATGAGACAATGTGCATGGTAGGGAAAGGGTAGGGGTGCCAGGCAGCCCCTGTGTGCTCAGGTTGACAAAACAAGCCCTTGCCTTTCACAACCGCTATGGGTGGGGGCGGGGGTGCAAGAAGGATGCAGAGAAGAAAAAAAAAAGTGACTCACGACACTAGGGAGGAAGGAAGGAGTCACATTCATAAGAAAAACCTAACTTTGGCAGGACAGTCTGCCTTCCTTCACTCACGAGCTTCCAATTCGCATCCAGGTGCAGCTATTAGGTGAGGGGAGACTTGGAGGAGCCTGTCGTGGCTCCAGTTGGCCCGGACAGAGCCAGGAGAGGCGGGGCTGACGTGGGAAGAGTCAGAGTTCCACCAATACAGCGCCAGAGGGTGGGCAGGGCTGGTCAGGGACAGATCCTGAATCACTGGGGCAGAAGCAGCTGTGAGAATTGAAGATCAATAGGAAGTAACCAAGCAAGGGGAAGAAAGAAAGCCAGAACCCGGGAAGTACAAACCCAAGGGCTATGGGCAGCAAGAGACAACCGGAAACTGAAAGCGGTCAAGTAGCAGAACCTGTTGGGAGCCTAGAGTGCAGGGGTGAGGGGGAACTGCTTGCAACCTTAAGTAGTGGATGTTCCTCAAGGCCTGGGAAGGCGTGCTCAGGCTGCCATGGCAACTCTTCTGGGAGCAAAGCTTGGAACCTGGAGCTGCTTGAAAACTTCCCAGTGTGCCTCCACTCTGGGATGGAGGTGCCAGATTTAGCAAATGAATACAAGGGGCATTCGGATTTGAATTTTAAATGAGCAGATTTGTTGAAGATTTTGTTCTCAGTGTTAAGCACATTGCATACAGTATTTGGGAGATACCTAACACTCAGACATTACTCACAGTTTATCTAAAACTTAATTGGATGTCCTGAGTCTGTCTGGGAAGCGGAGGTTGGTGCTCTACCGAGAAGTCTAGACTGAGAACTAACTCAGTGCCCTGAGAACAGGCTCAGGGCATATTTCTTTTGTGACGAATCCTGATAGATCAAGTTCGAGGTTCCTTCCATGACTGGTCATGATTATTATTGAGAAAAGAAAATTAGTTCCTAACTCCATTTATTCATCTGCACAGCTGAGGTTGTGTGTGTGTGTGTGTGTGTGTGTAAACTGTGAAAGCATCCAGGCTACTTGGTGGGACCTTGGAAAGAAATTGGATCAATGGTCATAGAATCAGACCTGTGCAGTGCCTTTGCATTCTCTGGTCCTCAGAGCCTGCTTGTCCAGGTTTTAGGGAGATAATATGAAATATATGGAGATCTGCACTTGAGTGCTTTGAAAAAAGTACTACATATTAATGTTAAATAAAACATTCACAGACAGTGAGCAGAAGAGTACCCGCAAAGTGCTTGGGGTGCATCCATTTCTGTTTGCATTTATAGAATGCCTAGAGGTCTTGGGGGAACTATGTGGTAGGGTTGGTTCCTGCTTCTAGTGAAACCAGCTAGCCTCTGGACAGGGGTGGAGGTGAGACAAAGTTATTTCCTCAGGGTTCCTTGCCCATCCACTAGCCTGCTTCAAGGACAGAGGAGACAAACAGCTCTCTTTCTGGAGAGTGGCAGGTGGGAAGAGAGGAGTGGCTCGAACTCTAATTAAGTCAAGATAAATATGAATGGATGAAAAGAGAATCTACACAAAACACCCAGCACAGTACCCAACACCCACAAATGCACCACAGAAATAGGTCTTCATTAGTCTTCATTTTCTAATAAGTTCCTTATTAGAAAACTCTAGCTGAGGCTAGAAGAAGGGCACCCTTCTAAATGCATCCTGATTTTAATGAGAACATTCCTAAGGAGTTAGAGACCTCCTAAAAGGAAAGGGGGGAAGTTGAGAATTTGGAGAGAGAGAAAGAGAGAGAGAGAGAGAGAGAGAGAGAGAGAGAGAGAGAGAGAGGCAGAGAGAGAGACAGAGACAGAGACAGAGACAGAGACACACACACACAGAGAATGGGAAGTGTGCTTCCCTTGTGGATTACTGGGTTATACATGGCCCTTCTCTCCAGTGGTGAATTTCTCTGTCCCCCAGTCCAGCCCATTTTGTCCCCAGTTCCTTAGCATGCCATTTGAGATGGGGATAATTTGTCAATTCAAGTCAATTCAAGTGATATGCTGTGCATATTTGCATGTCCAAGGTTGTGGTGAGTCCTGCAGAAAAGGCAAGTATGTCCCTGGCTTGGTTTAGCATTCTCTGAATGTGGCTATTCAAGCCCTTCAGGTTTTCAAGGGAAATTAACTTTCCACACACAGAGAGCATGGATGCGGGTATAGGGTGCAGACCACACAGATCTATCAGAAGTCATTGTTCACCCATAATTCTAAGTAAGATGGATGTAATTCATCCTGGGGTTGACATTTCCAACTCAGAGATGTTCAGGAAATGAGCTCTTGTGTGCAGCATTCCAGCCTTACCATTCTTCAGATAGAAATCTCCCTTACCAGGGACTGCCTAGCCCTTCTCAAGGACCCTGGGGCGATCTCTACATCTGGTATTTAACTTCATTCGGAAGTGGAAGTGGACAGTAGTTCCATGTGGCCAAACACTGCTGAAGAGGAGAGGGGAAGGGAAGGGACAGAGGCTCCCATGAGGAGGACCCTGATTAGTGGGGTCCTCAGTCTCTAGTTTTCTCACAGCTCAGTATCTACTCATCTCAGACTAGCTGGCCTCCCAGGGCAAGGGGAACAAGGTAGTTAGCCAAGAGGCAGTGAGGACAGAGAGGTACTCCTGGGATAGTTTGGGAGCCCAAGCAAGGTTAAAAGAAAAAGTTTGATAGTTATGTGATTCTCATATATTTCAGGCCAGTCTCAAGGCAAGGGAGAAAGAGCAGGGCCCTGGTAACACTAACCATCTAATTCTGTGCCAACAGTTCAATGATCAGGAACCCAGGCTTATAGTAACTCTAACTGGACCTTCTCTGTGACCTTGGGAAGGACATTCAGCAGTGAATTCCTTATCTGTAAGATGGGGGTGGTGTCAGGGCTTTTGACAGTGAGGTATATTAGCCAGGACACAGATAAAATAGAAACGATAGTAGTCATCACCCATAGCAGGAGAGGAGAGCCCCTGTTCCACCTTTGACTCCCATGCTGTGCTGGGTCACCCTGGGAGTGGCCAGGGAACGGGTAGTCTGGTGGCAGAGCCAGGCCTTCAAAGCACAGGCCTACAGATATGCACCAAGAAGTATGGGCTATTGTTTCAATATTAGCGTCATGGAGGAGGGTGTGCTCATGTACAAACTTAATACGTTCTGCTGTGCATAAAACATAATAGACACACAGTAGATACTCAGAAGTGTGAACTCTCCATTCCATATCTTGATAATTATGGGCTACATCTGACCCTCGGAGGAAGCACTGTTTATTATTATTATTATTATTATTATTATTATTATTATTATTATTTTGTTTGACTGTGTTGTACATATGTCTGTGGCTGGGACATGAAACACACGTGTGTGCACAGCCTAGGCCATAGTTCAGCCTCAGGTGTCCTTCCTCTGAATGCCATCCATCTTGATTTTCCAGATGTGTCTGTCTTCGTTTCTTTTCCTATTTCTCTGATACAATACTCTGACAAAAGCAACATGAGGGAGAAAGTACAGTCAGTCATGGCAAGGTGGTCAAGGCAGTGGGAGCTTGAAGCAGTTGGCCCCGTTACATCCTCCATCCATAAATTGTGTCACCCACAGTGGGTGTGCCCTCCCATCTCAATTAATGAGACCAATGAAAACACTCCTCCACAGGTAATCCCAGAGTCCAGAATCTGTCAAACTGGCTACCACAGGGTCTCACCATTAACTCACTGATTCCATGTGGTCAGTGACTGGCTAGCAAGCCCCAGGGCAATGCCTGATGAAGTCTCCCCAGGCCAAACACCTTTTTAGCTGAGCCATCTTTCCTGCCTGTTTTTATTTTGTTTAAGGTTTTTGGGATAGCCCTCCCTCCCTCAACCTTCCAAGTGCTGAGATTTCAGGAATGTACTGCCTGCCCAGGAATTTATTTCTTCTTTTTTTCTGGTGCTGGGGAGGGAACTTGGGGTCCCACAAATGGCAGGCAGCCACACTCTACCAGAGTTGTACCTGAGGTTTTTCTTTCCTATTCCTGAGGTCACGGACCACCTTTTGACACAGAAGTTATAAGAGGCAAAAACTCATCTGTTTTTACTTCAGCTGCTCTACTCCCAATCCAGTGTGCTGAGTACAGCCAGGCGGAATTAGCTCTTGGGCCAGGAAAGATGATGCCACTGATACCAATCAGGCTCTGGAGCCTGAAGGACCATTTAATCGTGTAGGCAGCAGAACATGGTGGCTATTCTTTCTAGGCCTTCTCATTTAGCGTGCAAAGCTCGGAGCTGTGTGAGGGGGTGGTGGGGGAAGGGGCAGCCTTTTGAGTCACTCTGCTGTTTCTCAAGGTATAATTATTACTCACGATGACAGTTTGATTAAGAGAGCAGACTCCAGGCTGCACATTTGATGCATTTCTACCTAGATGCAATGTGCAGATTGACATAGTGTAGAGTTTGGTTTTTGAGAGATGGACCCTTCAGATAGACTCGGGTGATCTTACTGGTAGACATCTCTCTGCATTCTGGGTCTCTCCAGCTTTTTCTTTTGCCCAGTGCTAAAGGGGCCAGGACTGTTACAAGACACCTATCAATGTGATTAATACCAAGATGAACCAGAGCCAAGCCCCGGAAGGTCAGGCACCTCCATAGCTCACTTAATATTTTTTCCTTCCCCACCCCCTGACATCTTAGCTATAGTTCACTTACAACCCCCGAACCCCCCCCACACACACACACATTTCCCCTCTGTGTTCTAAAATCTACCCACACATAATCTGGGAAGACAGGGGTCCTACAGGAAGTCACCAAAAGCAGTCTTACAAAGCAGTCTTCTTCCAAAGTGGTCCGCTTCTCCCACCAATGCTGAGGGTAGCTTTGCCTTTGTCTGTGTGTCTGAGATTCCTGACACTCCCCACCCCCTCACCCTCGCCTGGCCCGCTCTCCTGCACCCATGGGGCTCAGCAGTTCCTTTCAGGGCTGCTGGGAATTTCTTCCAAGTTTAAACTTGGCTCTTCCATTCTGGTTCCACTGCAGTGGTCCCATAGATTGTCCAGGCCTCCTAACTGACACCCACATTCAACGAGCCTGGTTCAGTCCTATGCTGGCTCGCCAGCTGTCAGACTGGGGTCCATGAGCTCCCATTTGCTTAGGTCAGCTATTTCTGTGGGTTTCACCAGCACCGCCTTGACCCCTTTGCTCATCACTCCTCCCTCTGTACAATTGAGAATGTTTCTCGACTTTTTTCTTA